GAGAACACAGTGGACCTGAAAGTGGTTTCAATTAACATTAGCTACTTGTATAATGTTACCGGAATCCCTATGACCAACATTAACAGGAACTCCTCAGTAACACAAGCTATTGGAGAAGGCAGGATGGAGAAAGAAAATGCCTGGAAAGGAAGCAGGTAAGCAGACCCCATCACCCCACTGCTCAATTTTATAGCTTTCTCAATTTAATTTTGTTTCTAGCAATATAAAGTGATACATTAGAACATCCATAGTCTGGTATAAGGAAGAATGTTGATAATCACATTCCGAGGGGAAAAACAAGCAAAATTGCACTGAAACAAATTATCAGTGAAACAATGTAGAAGCAAGCTAGTGGCAAACTGTCACAACTAGGGCTGGAAGCATAAGGATATACTTTGTCCCTACCTTTTGCTCCGAATTATTTATTTTAATTCGTAGTTAAAATATCACTCATTTAAAACAGAAGAAAATACATTTTAAAAATCATAATAAGGACAAATTCTAAGAGGAGAATGTGTGTGTGCATGTGTCTTCAAGTCACCTGTCAATTTATGTCAATCCCATGACTTTCATAATGTCTTCTTGGGCAATGAATACTCAGAAGTGGTTATGTCAGATTATTTCTTTGATGTACTAACCAAGATCAACCCTGCTTAGTTACAAGATAAGGTAGGATCTAGTGCAGTGGTTCTCAACCTGTGAGTCTCCAGGTGTTTTGGCCTACAACTCTATCACTCATTTCCACCAGATGCTAAGGAGGCTATCCAAGTCCTGAACCAGTGCCTGGCTACTGTGATGGTCTGGATGAGGGCAAGCAAATTGAAGTTGAATCCAGACAACACAGAGGTCCTCCTGGTCAGTCGCAAGGCCGAACAGGCTATAGGGTCGCAACCTGTGCTGGATGGGGTTACACTACCCTTGAAGGCACAGGTTTGCAGCTTGGGAGTCCTCCTGGATTCATCACTAAGCCTGGAATCCCAGGTTGCAGTGGTGGCCAGGGGAGCATTTGCACAATTAAAACTTGTGCGCCAGCTGCGCCCGTACCTTGGGAAGTCAGACTTGGCCACGGTGCTCCACGCTCTCGTTACATCTAAGATATACTGCAATGCACTCTAGGTGGGGTTCCCTTTGAAGAAAATTTGAAAAAAAATCCCTTTGAAAAAAAATTGCCCTCCTCCAGTCTCCTGTTCTCTAAGAATTCTCAAAGATTATTGCCAGTGGTTCTGAAATGACTTCTGCTAGTTCAGTACTCTTGGATGTAGTTCATCTGGCCCTGGAGACTTGAATTTATTTAGAGTAGTCAGGTATTCCTGTACTACTTCTTTACTTATTTTGGGTTGCATTTCCCCTACGACCTTGTCTGTTCCGTATTACTCAGGTTGAACCCCAATCTCCTTTTGGAAGAAGATTGAGGCAAAGAAGGTGTTGAGTAGCTCTGCCTTTTCCCTATCCCCTGTTAGCATTTCACCCCCTTCTCCTCACAAAGGCCCTACCATTTCCTTTTTCTTCCTTTTTTCTACTGACATAACCAAAGAACCCCTTTTTATTGGCTTTAATGTCTCTGGCAAGCCTGAGTTTATTTTGTGCCTTAGCCTTATGAACCTTTTCCCTACATATATTGGCTATTTGTTTTAATTCCTCTTTGGTAATTTTCCTCCTTTTCCACTTCTTGTGCACATCTCTTTAAATCTTAGTTAAAAGTTCTTTGCACATGCATTCTGGTTATTTCACACTTCTCCTATTTGTTCTCCATGCTGGCACTGTTGGCAATTGTGCCTTCAGTAGCTCACTTTTAAAAAACTTTAATCCATCATTAACTCCTCTTTTAGTATTCCTATCCATGGAATCATGCTCAGTATTTCCTTAAATTTCCTGAAGTCGGCTCTCCTAAAGTCTAGAATGTGTGTTTCACTTCTCTTAGTTTCAACCTTCCTTTGTATCACAAACTCTAGGAGCACATGGACACTCCCACCTACGGATCCAACCACTTCTATTCCATTGTCCAGATGCTCAGTATTGGTTAGGATCAGATCCAGAATAGCTGATCCCCTTGTTGCCCCTTCTACCTTCTGGACAATAAATTTGCCTGTAAGGCAAGTGGGGAATTTTTGGACTTTGTACTCTTAGCAAAGATGTTTTCCAACAAATATCAGAGTAATTGAAGTCTCCCCATTAATACTATGTCTCTTCTTTCAGCAGGTTTGGTCATCTGGTCAAGGAAGGCTTCATCCAGTTCTTCCATCTGGCTTTGAGGTCTGTAGTAGACCCCCACAAATACGTATTTTACAGTTCTTGTTCCCTTAATTCTTACCCAGATGTTTTCAACCTGATTTCCAGGACTGAGGTCTTGCATCTGTTTACAGGTGTAAATATTTTTGACATATGTTACTCCACCCCCCTCTCCAGTTTGGTCTATTTATCTGAAATAGGTTATACCCCTCCATTGTTACATTCCAATCATAGGACCAGTCCCATCAGGTTTCAGATATGCCTATTACATCATAACTGGAGAAGAGATAAAAGACCACCTGTACATTAAGATGGTTTAGCTTTCTCCCAAGAGCTTCAAAATCCTTTCTGGTATTTTGAAGACCATGCTTTGCAGTATTGTTGGTTCCTACATGAACCAACATGAAAGGGCGAAGGTCAGTGGGCTTGATAAGCCTTGTCAGCCACTGAGTTATGTGCTGGATTTTTGCCCCAGTGAGGCAGCATATTTCTCTAGACATCCTATCAGGTTTGCGAATCACCGCTTCTGTTCCTCTCAGAAGGGAGTTGCCTACAACCAACACCCGTCTCATTTGAGGATTGGCAGGGTCCCTTTCCTGTAATGTGTTCTACAGATCTCCTGAAACCTGAGCCTGTTGCTGAACTAGATTGTGTAGCTCTAAACTGGCCTCCTCCTCAGAGACATCCCCCCTGCATTCATCAAAGATAATCCAGTCAGAAGTGTCCAAGACCTCCCCCCCCCTATCCCCAATGTGTTCTTGTTCTGCCTCATCTATGATTGGGGAAAGAGATTCTGCTTCATTCTGTGACTGCAAATTCCGTGCTTGAAATCAAATCATATTCAAGGCAGGCTGCTAGTTATAGATTTGAGGTATGCAGGCAAAGCAAAGTGACTGAGTAGGTGGACCAGATGATGTGGGGGAGCAAGCGTGGGAGAAAGTCTAGATGATTAGCATGGAGAAAGAGGACATGGGATTTTTGAACTGACACAGTGGAGAAGATTAGCACCAAAGCTCGGGTTGCTATTGGGGATGGGTGCCTTATCAGCCCAGCAGCTGAAGCCCTCCCCCCCCCATCTGCTCCATTTGTTTATCATGGATGGAAGAGTTATACCTGAAAATTATGAACAAATTGCCTCTTTGAGGACTTGAAAAATGAATCTCCATTACAAAAACCAATCATAAGCATGTCACTTGACAATGATATTTATGGACATTGGCTGCATACACACCTGTGGAATGTGCCTTGAGGAATGCCTGGCTAGCAACACAGGACAAAAGCCTGATAAATGACCAGTTTCTAACTGATTTTCTGAAGCAGGACAGGTGGTAATAATGCATCTTCTTGTGTCATATATCCTGGGCTTTCCCCTCACACCTCTGAATGAGTGGATTCATTTCCTTTTCTGGTATATGAGCAGGAATGAACAAAGTACCATGCACAGACTCCAAGTGGCCCCGGATATATTTTTGGGACTGTATGCAGACATACATTAATCTAACTACACCTCCAACAGCCTTTGGGTCATATTTGCCCAGTCCAGCCCATTTTTCCTCTTTGGGTTTATTTTAGGCAGAAAGATGATTCAAAAACAGAAGTGACAGGAAGCTACCTGATTTTTATTTTTTAATATATTTTTTTGCAGCTGGGGGTGGGGAATCTACCTGTTACAGATATGAAAATAGGTCTCACAGCAGATGGCAAATGCCTAGAAACTAGAAGGTATATGGTTGAAAGCTACGTACCACTTCCAAGAACCAGACATTAACAAATACAAGGCCATATGGCCATAAATCAGAGGGGAGAAACACCATTCTTAAAGTGGTGCCATGAGATTTACAAGCCATGAAGTTCACTACAAGGCAGACATTGGGCAAATTTCCATCCTTCAGTCTAATTGACAATACTGAACATAAATGAGCTAAGAGTCACAAGTCACAGAAGATGCACAATGACAATCAGTGCAAGCAGAATATCTATATTGGCCATTTGGGCAGAAAAATAATCACCCCTCCACACACATCTTGGAAATGCCTTTATCAGTTACCAAAAAAAAGGCACATAAATGTATACACATTTTGGAAATCATTAGATCTCTTCCTCAGGCATCAGCTTGGAGGGAAGAGAAAAGGAAATGAGTTCACGTCCAAGTCACTGTATCTGCATGACATACTAGAAACTGAAAACACAGAATCAATGGAGAGAAATGTTTTTCTCCAATTCTTGTTCCCAGCTCTTGTAGAGATGAAGCCACATGGAACCAAAAGTTATGACATCGCACACTAGCACTTTGGTTGACCACCTACAGGCTCTTGGACATCATAAAGACACCATACCTTCAACATTAAGTCAGTTTTCTGTTTCCTTCCAGTGCTTCACCTAAACATGTTTTTAATTATATCTTTCCTGAGGACATATCTGGTGCTCCCAAAGAACTGTATGCATTTTGGGGCCCTTCAGACAAGGATAATAACAAAACTATTGTGGACAGGGATATGGGTCTCCTTTATTCTTTAAATAAAGGAGGCAAAGATTCCAGATGTCCAGAGCAGAATGAGTGGAACACTTTACAGCTCTGGGTTGTTGTAGGTTTTTCCAGGCTATATGGCCATGTTCTGGAGGCAATTTTTCTCCTGACGTTTCGCCTCCAGAACATGGCCATATAGCCCGGAAAAACCTACAACAACCCATGGATTCCGGCCATGAAAGCCTTCGACAATACTTTACAGCTCTCTTCTCCAATTAGCCTCCTTCTCCCAACCATCACTCACCTGTGTAGCCCTCTTGACACTCGCAGGTGTATCCTCCTTCACGGCTTCGGCAGTATCCATTGTTGCCACAGGGGTTAGAATAACAGAGGTCAATCTCAGTTTCACAGTAATCCCCAGTGAAACCTAGTGGGCAGCGACAACGTAGACCATTGACAGGGTGTATAGGACGGAAGAGAATGGTTTTAGATGCAATGAAAGGTGCAGAGCTGTCAAACTTCAGCACTGAGACACAGCGCATATAATTCTCACAGGGCTCCCGCAAGCAAATATTGTCATCGAAGGGCAGAACTCGCTGCTCTGAAATGGCAGCCAAGAGTGTGCGGTTGAGGTACAGCCGTTCCTGCAGGTCTTCTGAAGGAATATAGTGTCCACCATAGGCCCCATCTGGCAACAAGACTGACAGGCTGACATTGAGAATGTGGGCAGACTGCACATCAGAGTCATTCTGAATGTTGAAAAGGACAACGTGTTCACGGGGAACGGACAACACCATTGCCACTCCTTCAAGGAAGAGGGCCAGCAGTGGGGAAAGAAAACGCTCCTGAGACATGTTCTCTAGGCGCAGGGTGATACTGTTGGTCAACATCTCATCAGTGATGATGGTCACCTGGAGCATGCACTGAGCAGCCACACTGTGGATCCCATCTGCAGAAAGATAAAAGAAAACGAGTTAGTTGTTGATTTCATAGTGCAGAGAAAAGCATTGTGGAGGACAGCCTGTAGGAGCAACTTCTAATATTACTTGTATGATTGGAATAAGAATGACCGTTCACTATAGCAAAAACAGGGTAAGAAATGCATTACAAATTGAGTGCTCTTCTCTTGGCAAAAGAAGGAACTGGCATAAAAAACATTTCCTGGCCTAAACTTGGCCATTCCTGGTCCCTCATGAATTACATGTTCCCACATCCTTCAACAAGGAAAAAGTGGAGACCTTGGCTGGATCTACACTGCAAAACAATGTAGTTTGAACTGTATTATATGGTCAGTGTAAGCTCATATAAGGCAGTTCAAACTCCATTATTTCACAGTCTAGATCCAGGCAGTGTTTAGATGGTGACTACAGACTAATTTTCAAAGAGTAGCTATGTTGCAACAGAAACAACAGGTCCTGTGGCACCTTAAAAACTAGCATATATTTAATAGCTTATTTTTTTGTGGAACTACGTCATTTTAGGCAGATACAGAAAATGCACTTCTCTGTGCACAAGGGTGAGAGAATTGTCAACAGTGAACGGTTCTGGCCCAACTTATCTATCCGAACGTATCTCAGCCTATCAGCCCACCAGGACCCTAAGATCTTCTGGAGAGTCCCTTCTCTCTATCCCTCCAGCTTCAGAAGTGCAGCTGGCGGGAACGAGAGACAGGGCCTTCTCTGTGGTGGCCCCCCGGCTTTGGAACACCCTCCCTATAGAGGTACGATCAGCCTCTTCGCTGATGGTGTTTAGGAAGAGATTGAAAACATGGTTGTTTAAACAAGCATTCGGCTAATCTGTGGCAATCGAATTTTGGTGACTAAGGACAGGAAAATATGGACAATGAATTCTGGATTATGATTTTAATTCGAGATACATGGGATTATTATTGGTGGCCCAATAATCTGTACTGTATGTGTATATGTTTTTAAATTGGAGACTGTTTTTTAATTGCTGTAAACCGCGATGAGTCGCCGATCCAGGCTGAGATATTAGCGGTATACAAGTGTATTAAATAAATAAATAAATAAATAAATGGGAAATTAAATACACAATTACATCATTAATGTTGGCTGTTCAGAAAGCCATAATCTGTGTCATCTACAAAATAGAAGAATATTCATAGAAGCTCCAGGCAACTGCATGTCTCAGGAGCATGTTTGCCACACATATTCAAAGCCCCTTGAACGTTTAAGAAATGCCTACAGGTAAAACCACAGAGACTGATATTTAGCTGCATCACATGATGCAATTAAAAAACGCACACATAAAACCATAATAGTAAAAGGAATCAATTTATACCAACTCCTACAAACAGTATTCTCAAGGAGTACTGTCAACGTTCACTGTTTGCAACCACAGTACACAGATCTGCACTCTTTTGTTGCTCTTTCACACTGCTAGCTCATACTCCTTCTCTTGTGCTCCATTCCTTTCTTGCTGTCTATTCTTGCTATTGTGACCTGCTCCCATTATCCAACTGCCATCTCATTAATGAAACTCCTCCTGTAAAAGGAACTGAGGGCCCCCTCTCTTCTGCAAGAGGTCAGAATCATTTAATAAGATGGCTGAGGAAGGGGGCACAGAAGCAGTTTTCTCAGAATTCCTCTATGGCAGAGCAAAAAACCAAACTTTGTTGTTTTTTCTTGTTCACTGCCAAATGTTTGTACAAATTCAGACTTTTCTTTCAGTCCAGCTTGAGATCCACTTGTGGATCAGAAACCCCATTGGTCATACAAGTGCACAATTTGTACAGGAGTACATATTGACAAATGTGACTTTAGTGTTTCACCCGAGATAGCTGGATGCTGTATCTGACATTGTGAAATCGCTGTATTCTTCTGATCTGACTGCCAGTCCTGAGTTTTGGTATCACTACTTGGCCACAGTTTCAGATCTGTCTGGTGGCAATGTGGCAAAATTACCATTTAAAAAATCCACCAAGGGGATTACCTGCTGCAGCAAAACTAACAGAGATCCTTGCTGTGACTCAAAGGAAACAAGTTTATTTGACATAAAAACATGTTATTCTTCAAGGTGCCACAGAACTCTTTGTTGTTCATGACTTCAAGGAATGAGATGAGATGTGCGGTTGACTTACATCTTAACATTACAAATTATTTTCTCTCAGTGAAATACCAGAGTGCCAGAACAGCTGTTTGAAAGAAGTCATCCTGATGATAATGTGTGTGTGGAGGGGGTGGGTGGGAAGGAATTCCCTAGTTTCATTAGAAATTTTCTTTAAACTCCATTTTTATTAGAATTATTAAATTCCAAATTGGGGTGGAAATTTGAAATTTCAAAAGTAAATGTGAGCGAAATAAAAAATTATGCATTCAGCGTTCTGAGTGATTAATTCTTAGGTTTATAGAATCATAGAATCGTAGAATTGGAAGAGACCTTGTGGGCCATCCAGTCCAACCCTCTGCCAAGAAGCAGGAAAATCACATTTAAAGCAGCCCTGTCAGATGGCCATCCAGCCTCTGCTTAAAAGCCCCCAAAGAAGGAGCCTCCAACACACTCTGGGGCAGAGAGTTCCACTGCTGAACAGCTCGCACAGTCAGGAAGTTCTCCTAATGTTCAGGTGGAATCTCCTTTCCTGTAGTTTGAAGCCATTGTTCCAATTCCTAGTCTCCAGGGCAGCAGAAAACAAGCTTGCCCCCTCCTCCCTATGGCTTCCGCTCACATATTTATCCATGGCCCTCATCGCGTCTCTTCTCAGCCTTCTCTTCTGTAGGCTAAACATGCCCAACTCTTTAAGCCACTCCTCAAAGGGGTTGTTCTACAGACCCTTGATTATTTTAGTCACTCTCTTCTGGGTACATCCCAGCTTGTCAACATCTCTCTTCAATTGTGGTGCCCATAATTTTATACAGAATTCCAGGTGTGGTCTGACCAAGGCAGAATAGAAGGGTAGCATGACTTCTCTGGATCTACACATTATACTCTTATTTATGTAGGTCAAAATCCTACTGGCTTTTTTAAGCTTCCACAGCACATCGTTGGCTCATGTTTGTTGTCCACAAGGACTCCAAGATCCTTTTCACACATACTACTGGCGAGCCAGGCGTCCCCCATTCTATATCTTTGCTTCAACTCCAGTGAATTCAACCATGTAAGCACGATGTCCTTTCAGTGTTGACACCTATTTTCTAAACTTTAACATCTTAGAGCAAGTGTGGAATGTTAGTTTTGGACTACGAGCAGAGGTCAGGTCAACATTCAGATTCTGCTTGCCCATGGAATCTACTGGATGACCTTGGGTAAGTCATACTCGCTCCACCTCAGAGGAAGAAAAATGCAACACCCCTCACCATCAGAAAAAAATATTCTAAGAAAATCCCATGACAAGTTAACCTTAGGTTCACCATAAGTCAGAAATTACTTGAAGATACACAACAACAATGGCAGATATATACAACATGAATTATCACAGCTATTTGCCTTTGGCTGATGCAAAGAAGACGACATTTCCTTTCCTTTTGTTTTTAAACAATTTACAATTAGTTCAGACGATGTATTTGGACGTGAAATGATCTGTCCAGAAAATCAACCTGTACAGAAGAAAGCAGAACAACCATGTCCACCAATTGTTAGCAGCAACTGGCTAAAAGACAGTGAGAAAAATAACATAGCTGTGTATTGTAATAGATGGAGGTTTATATCCAGGAACCATCTCTCTGATGCTGACTTCACTCAAATATCCAAAAAGATCAGTTCACATCCAATCAAAATACTAGTCTCCAAAAACACCAGCTGTAAAAGTTGAACAGGTAGTCAAAAGTAAACAAAGGCAGGAAGGAGATTTTTGTTTCTGTCCAGTGTTTTGACTCATTTGGTGAGAAAGCAGAGAGGGAAAACAAGTGAAATGCTTGATCAGGAAGCAGGAGGAAGAAACCTAGGTCATCCTGTTATTAGCCACAAAGCTGGAGCCACCCAGCAATTGCCCAATAGGAATTGAAGGTGATTTACAATACAGAATTGGCATTCTCCCAGGCAACAATGTTCTACACATTGGAACAGGAACCCCATAAACAGACACATACATGCCCACATTCTTTTGTGGCTGGTACAACTCTCCTAAGATGTAGATGGGTGGGACACAAGCTTCTGGATGATGTCAAGCCAGAATAATGTCTCCTTGTATGCTCACAACAACCCACAACCGTTCCTCCACTACATCCAACCGTCCCTAGATTTGTGCAGTCATTCCAGGATCCAGCTTGGGAGAGCTTTCAAGCTAAGAGGGTAAACTCTGCTCAGGATTTATTCTAAAACCTAAGCAGCTGGCTAGTTCTGCCAGATGTTGGCAATGAAATATCAGTAATGCCGCTTTGAGGCATATGATGTGATTATGGTCTGTGATGGTTTTCTTTTGGTAAAAAGTTATGACTTGCATTAATCTTGTTTTAGAAAAAAATCATTTTATGTGCAGATGTTCATGTACTAAGAAATTATATTCCTAAGAACCAAAGTTTAAGATATAGGTATAAAGGGTAAGGTTAATAAAGGTTTTCCCCTGACATTAAGTCCAGTCGTGTCCAACTCTGGAGGTTGGTGCTCATCTCCATTTCTAAGCCGAAGAGCCGGTGTTGCCCGTAGACACCTCCAAGTTCATGTGGCCAGCATGACTGCATGGAGTGCTGTTAGCTTCTCGCCTGAGCAGTACCCATTGATATACTCACATTTGAATGTTTTCAAACTGCTGGGTTGGCAGAAGCTGGGGCTAACAGTGTGAGCTCACACCGCTCCCCAGAGTTGAACCTGCAACCTTTCGATCAGCAAGTTCAGCAGCTCAGCAATTTAACCCACTGCACCACCAAGGGCTCCCAAATGACCTCCTCATGCTTGTATAGATGTCAAAACACTTGTCCTTAGAGTTTCCAGGTTTCAGAACCTGACCCTCACAGCCTGGACCCTCTTTGTCAATTCTCAGGGCAAATGAAGGGA